CAGAAATCAAAACTTGACAAGAATAGAAGAAACAAAAGTATTGCCCAAGCCACACTAACCGTGATGAAACCGTAACTGCGAAGCGAAAAGGGAGCAGAACCACGAGCTGCAGCTCTGTTGAAAGCCCTAAATCAGTGTTAAATATTCAACCTATATGAAAGCCCTAAAGCTAAGGAAGTTTCTGATTCGAAAGAGACCGGAGATGTAGAGGACGAGCGTAGGAAGAAGAGACGAGAAGCAGAGATCCGGCGATGAAGAAGAGGTGAGGCAGCGTCCAGTGAACGAGATAAGATTCTCTTTTGTTTACTTTTTAATTTTTATTAAATATTTTTTAATTTTTTGTAGGGAGATGTTATAGTTACAACCTTTTACTACTAAATCTTAACTATTGATTTTCGTTAATCTAACGGTTGTAATTTATTAAGTCATACTTGTTAATTAATTATTAATTTCCAATAAATTATAACCGTTGGATTGGAAGAAACCAACGGTTAAGATTTGGTAAAAAGAAAAAGAGGGAGTAAGTATAACATTTCTCTTTTATTTAATTGTAATTTTATTTCTTTTTTACAAAAAAAAATAGCCAAAACGTATCCACATGCGTTGACCGCGTGTCGGATTCGGTCAAAATTGTGTGTCTTTTAAGTCAACGTGTCCCAAAAAGTTAAGCGCGTGTCGGACGCGTGTGCGAACGTGTCGAAACGTGTCCATGTCGGACACGTGTCCGACACGCATTTTTTCTCAACAATCCCGTGTCCGTGCTTTACAGCTCGTACCTTTATTTTTTTGGTTCATTCTCTTCTTCTTTATCTATCTCTTTCTCTCACTTAAAATGACACAACTTTATCTCTTTCAAAATAAAGACACACTTTACCCATTAATATAACCATCCTCAATTAATTAACCACCGCCATACTGTTCAATATTCTTTGTCTCAAGCGCAGCACTATCTTCAAACTCCGACAGTTTCCACTAATATTATTATAAATTCTAAATGAATTTATTCAAGCATCTGAGTTATTTCACATATTTAAATTTTGGAAAAAAACTACTCTCATACTATTGGAGAGTAGTTTTTTTTTCCTATACACCCATCAATTTTTGTGTAACTTAATTTTTGTTTTTATAAGTGGATGGATTTTATCTATAATTGTGTTCATAATAGAAGAACACTAATATCCTATAACATGATATTAATAAATTCCTTAAATTTTAAAAGTGTTTTTTTAAAAATGAAATACTTTATGCAGATTGATGTATGTGATGAGGTACTGCAAAATAACACCATTTTATGCCATGAGTGAATAACCATTACAGCTAAAGGAATCAATTCCTTTAAGAATGTGAGTGCCACCTTATATATGTCATGGCGTTGATTAAAACGGGTATTTGTAGGAGTTACAAGCATGATTTAATTGTCATCAATGCATCAATGCTTTCCACGTGTACTAATCATATGGCCCTGTCAGCAATTTTTTATTGATGATGTCATTCTAAGGTGCTGTGTGAAGTGAAATGACGTATTGCAGCCCATTTAGATAAATATTATTAGGGATTTGCATTCATCATTTAACATGATCACAAAAAGTTTTCTATAAACACAACATTTTATGGGACCCGCATGTTTTGAAGAGAAAAAAAATTCCGGCACGCAAAACGAATCTCTATAACATAACACACTCATTTTTCCTACAACATAACTCTTATAAAACTCATATTATTATTTTACAATCTTTGGGTATTTATTTTTTTCAATAAAAAACACAATGGTTTTTCACTCTAAAACTTACTCTTAAGTGAATGCAACATCACTCCATAGGCTTTTTGACCACTATAGCTTTTTTTAATAATTAATTATCAAATTGATCTTATTTATAAACTATTTCAAAAATTTAACCTCTCCAGAAAACATAATATCAATCTGCCCATGTTTGACCGTTGATCATGAAGTCTACCGGGTATATTTTGAAATTTTTACCTAGTACACCCCTCCCTACTCGGGTATATTTCTTGAAAGAGTGGAGAGCGATGTACCCGGATAAATAATCATAACCTGATGAGTGGCGTGAGGGTGTGTCATCTTATAAAGGCACTTTGTCATTTCCTTCTCCGTGTTCAACCATTGCTTGAAATATGGGTTTATCAGAATCCTGAGCTTGGTAACCTTGTCTATGTTATGCCCGATTTTGTTTCGGTTATTGGGTGCAGGATAATTCCTCAGGAGCTCGGTCCACTAGGGATTCAAGATGGTTCTATCCTATGGGCACCTGTATTTGAAGTTATTGGTGATTTTGATGGTTCAACTACTTTTTTTCTCCATGGAAGGGAAGATGGAGTAGACTATGTTTATCATGGCTCAGTCAAGTCCGTAGATAAATCTTGCAATGTTCTATTGCTTGAGGTTAAACCCAGCGAACAAGATTGTGGTAGTACTTTGTTGCAAAATAGAGCTTTGTACCCCCTCACTCTGATGTGGAGTTGTCAATAAAGGTTTGTAGGTCAAATAGTGAATATTCTAGGTTACAAGAGGTTGTTGGAAATAATGAGGGAATGGTTCCCTTCAGCAAGTTGGCTTTTAGTGATAGAAGGAAGTTACTTGAGGTCACTACTAGCCAAGTTCGACAAGAGGATCCTACGATGGGAATTGGACCAAGTTGGTAGTAGTCACATTGTCAAGAAGGAAAATTCTCAAGAGGCAATTGGTTCTATGCAATTAAAACTGGATGACATGAGAAAGAGTTTTGACTGTTCAATGGCTTTCTCTGATTCTTCGCACAAAGAGGATGGACGAACACAACAATGGTATGATTATTTACCTGGGTACGCCCCTCTCTACCCGGGTAAATAATTCAAACACTTTTTCAGATTCAAGAAATATACCCAGGTAGGGAGGGGTGTATCCGAGTAGGTAAAAAATTTCAAAATATACCCGGGTAGGTAGGGGGTGTACTCGGGTATGCTTCATGGTCAACGGTCAAATAGGGGCAGATTGGTGTTATATTTTCTGGAGAGATTAAATTTTTGAAATAATTTATAAATAGAGTCAATTTGATAATTAATTATTAAAAAAAAACTATAGTGGTCAAAAAGCCTCACTCCGTATCTACCGAATTATAGCAATGTATGACTCCAATATTTTTAAGGCTTTGTAAACCTCGTAGTCATGAATACCAAATGCAGTGCAGAATACGACTTTCTAACTTCACTTTCTTAGCAGTTTAAAATTATTATTATTTATTTTGTACTAAAAAAATATTTTTTTCAAAATAAAAATAATCAATTAATAATCATTGATTTAAGTGGCAACAATCTTGTTCTTTAATCAGACAATTATTCTACCAACAATGCCATACTTCACACAAGTTCAACATCCAAAATAAAAATTTCTTCATAATCTTAACCATAAACAAAAATCAAAGTTGAACCAAGACATTGTTACGATTTGAGCAAATATCTAGTGTTGAGATATATAGTTTCACATTGGTTGAAGAGCAACTAATGTGGAGTTTATAAGGCCTTTGGCACTCCCACCCTTTGAGCTAGCTTTTGGGTGGTGTATCCTAAGGTTCTTTACACGGTATCAGAGCCTCGTGTCCCGGGTTCGATCCTTACCGCCCCCACTTTCTTTCTAGTGGAATTTCTTTCTTTGCACAGGTAGGTGGGCCTGTGCATTGTCCACCCTTCAAGCCCAGTGGGCTCTTATATGAGGGGGCGTGTTGAAATATATAAAAGCCATTAAAGTAACCTCACGCAACAACTTAAGCTTTTGGGTTGAATTGGTTCTTTACATCTACGAGCCAAAATGAAGCGAGAGAGTGATGGCTGAACAAAGAATGAATGAATAGGGTGCATAGTCAGTTAAATAGCTGGATTAAACAAAATTTCTCTATGGCACACGCAGTGATTCTGGCTAAGTTTGTTATATCCTCTATCTTATGTTTCGTATGCAAAACATCTTCTTAATTTCCTCTTGGTATTTGTGATGATATTGAAAAGATTCAAAAGCATTTCATCTAAAATGACATTGATTCTAAAGGGAAAGCTCATTTAGTTTCTTGGGATCAAATCTGTAAACCAATAAACTTTGGATGTCTAGTCCTTCAAAATTTAAGAAAGTATATTTAGACTTTTTTTCAAAAGATGGTCCGGTCTATAATCCATTCCCCATCCCAACTCTAGGCTCAAACTCTTGTAGCCAAGCATGGTAGGAAGATGAATCTCATCAAACAGATCTCAAGTGAGTCCTATGACTACCCGATGTGGAGAAATCTTTGCAAAGTTTGACTTGTATGCTTTATGGCTTGGTAGAAATGTAAACTTTTGATTTGACAATTGGACTGGTGTAACTACAAATATTCTTTTTGTAGCCAAAACACCTCCTCATCCTCTTCCCCTTGAAGACATGGTGGCTAATTGTGCTTTCAATTTGGAATTTGAATTTTCTTCAAGGTTTTTCTGAACCAGGTGTGTCAAACAACATCACTGCCATTTCCCCTGGTTCTAGATGTTGGCAGTGATGCTTTAGCTTGGATATGTATTCCAAGAGGGAGAAAAAACAGATGTGTAGATTTACTTGCTAAAGAAGCCATAATCAAAATCTTGGGGCACTAGCTATTCTTCTGTCACCTTCAGCTAAACCCTCACAATAAAGGACAAAACATCTTCTTCATGTGTTCTAATTCCAAATGCAACGATTTCTGTATGTAAAACTTATAAACAAGACATATTTTATCAAGTTTCAAACCAATCTCGTCGATATCAAAAATGATGTCCATTGAAGTCTGTCCGAACTAATTTCAAAGTTCTGAAGAAATATTACCGTTCAATGTATATTCATGACAATCTGGGGCTAAAATTTCCTTTGAAACCAAAGTGTAGCTACGCATGACATTATTCGGGGAATAAAAAAAAAAAAAAAAACTCTGAACCCTCACCATAATATGAGTCGAAATAAAAATAAAAATCCACAAGTTGCAAAAGACAAAACAGACAAAAACCAACGACATAGCAATGAAAGTAAACCAGTGTCAAGTTCAAGTTCTAAGAAACTTAAATAGTAATACGACTGTGACGATTGTGAATATTGCATTTGTAGAAAGGAATAAGGAGCTCATCATCTTATCAATATTTGAAAAACACTTTAATACTCCCCAATGGAAGGAATAAGGAGCTCATCATCTTAGCAACTTATGAAAAGCACCTTAACACTACCCAAAGGATGGAATAAGGCGGTCAAGCCAGCTATGGTCTGAAAAAGCACAGCACCGAACATTAGCAACCAAGTCATCAAGCTCTTGCTTGCGGTCACCAGCCGCATCAATAACACTGCAAGACCCCAGAAACCTCAGAAGCTCGGCCAAGCAACCATAGGCAAAACCCTGATACTTGTTTGTAGAAGCTTCATCACGAAAACCAACACAAGGATACTTTAACAGAAATTCAGTTAACAAAGGCACATCCTCTTTAGCTAGGTGGTTGCTGGAAACTAGCAACTCCAACTCCTTTACCCTAGGGATGCGACCATTGTCATTATGCTCCAACCCAAGATACTGGTCCCATGCACCATAAATGTCTCTTCTCTATCCCAACATAAAATAAAAGGACAATGTAAACATGAATTCAAACATATGAAAATGGTACTTACTATCAATTGACTTTAAAAGAAAAAAAAATTATTTATAAATGAATGCACCTGAAAACGACTGGATACAATGTCATTGTCCTGAAGGTACTCAGGATGCCCTGTTGAAACAAATGCAAACTCCCACTGCCCAAACAAGAAAAATAATCAAAAATTAGGTGAACTAACTGAAATATTATCCGTCCCTCAATAAAAGGAAGAAGCCTGATAAACACGGGAGAAACAGGAAATACCTTGCCAAAGGCATCATCAGGAACTTGAAGTTTCTTCTGTATTCGCACTTTAATTTCACCCAAAGTCTCATCTTTATGTATAACCAAGACAAAGGGTTCCCCAAAGTTTTGAATTTGCTGTACATATCAAATGGAAAACAAAATTACACAAGGTTTGGCAAACCATTGAAGTCAATATTACAAATTGTACAGAGGGAATTGAACAATTTTAAGACTATTTACCATTTGTTTCTGATCTGCGCCTTTAGTGAAATGATAGACATGGATTAGATGACCACGTGGACCCACATTTTTCTCTTCTTCCGGAATCTGTAAATTTATATACAACCAGAAAAAAGACTAGTTTATTTTGTTACACAAACTGGAAAAAAAATCCATTGGTGCTATTATTTGAATAAATAAAAGCGGGAACACTTCATTGACTGAGAACTATCTCCTCCCTTCCCATCCCCACTCACACACAGAAAGAAACTGCTACCTCCTCTGCACGTAATGTCCAGGATTGATCATTGAAGTTTATAATCTTTTCATTCGGAGAGAAGATCTGCACAGGCAGAGGAAGGATGGAATGAACATATTTCAATAATAAAATTAGGCTCTTCTCCACTAGTTAATTATATTTTCAGCAACATAAGCAATTGGAGGATCACAACTCAACACTAAATTTAGAATATTTAATCCTGATTCACCAATAATTTAATCAAAAAATAATCAAGAATAATAATAAACAGAGACAGTGAACATAGATGTTACGCCAAACCTTGTATATCTTGTGATTGAAGACTTCAAGTAACCTAAGGTCAACATTAAGATGAGACAATGCCACCTGTACTCTCAGTAAAAATTGAGCATTAGACATATAATACTATAACTGCAAAAACACAGGCCTTCGTTAAAAAACAAATAATAAATAAATAAAAAAACCTCAGATGAAGCCATAAGCAAAAGTTGGGTACAGTTGTGAAAGCAGTGTTCTGTTAGTAGCATTGTACAATGTAAGCAAGTTAATAAACTAAAGCAAAAATCACACAAAGCCACCTTTGTTTTAAGATCATCAAGGACATCTGCCACAGTACTCTGCTTTGGGAGTCTAACAGTCTGAATAATCACCTGAGTAAACAAATAAAAAAAAAAATTAAAACAATATGAAAAAAGTCTAGATGAAAACCTGAAGAAAATCAGATCCCTGTACTCACTTCGTCTTTGGTAGCATGGTGAAATGCAATTTTCAGAGTTTTCCAACCATGTAAATCTAGCAGAGAGATGTCAAGTACTTCGTAGTATAATATATCCGAAGTCTGACATACAAGAAAGGAGTAAGATGTTTTGCTTTTAAATATGAGATATTATGAAGGATTGAACTATATCCACCTGATTGTCGTGAACCAGCATATCAGATAAATGCTTCACCCCTCGGTACTCAATAGGCTCGGGTTTTGGTTGTTGAGAGGAGCAGTCGTGTGGGGTAAGCCTAATTTTGGATGGATCATCCAAACCAAGTTGTCGAGCAACTCTCTCCACTACATCATCATATTTATAGAGCCTTGGCCTAGAAATTATAACAAAGAATATATGTTAAGGATGGGATTCTAAGCATAATAATATATAAATACTTAAATCTTCTCGCAAGAAAAATACTGCAATAGTATTAAATATAATGAATCACTCCAATGAATTCCAAAATGCTTACATCTTTAGGCAAAAGCTATGCTCTTCTAGAGATCGGAAGTGAACAACCTAAAATACATCCATTAGAGATTAAAAACAATCAGCTGATAGCTTACAATATAAACATAATGAAACTTGCAAGTCCTATTGGATACACATACAGATACATGCCTGCACGCACACCGCGAATATGAGGAAAGTAATATAATTTAGACATGATAGTGTGAACAAATATAAGGGTAGCTTACATTTTTGCATATCTTCAAACCAAACAAATTGCATCTAATTGAACCCAAAAAAGAAAATACCTGGGAATTGTGCACATATTCTAAGTATGAAGGCACATCTGGATAGCGGACACATTTCTCACTATCCAGTTTCTGGAAGCATACAATATCTCCATTTTCTAGCTGCAAATATATATATAAAATCAATGCTCCAACCAAAGATACATTATCTCAATGTGCATCAATTGCATATATAATTTATTTACCTCGCTATCTCGAAATGTTAATTTCTTATCAATCGGAACACAAATGATATTTGGTTCGAACGTAATTTCCTGCTCAAGAATAGGAACAGTTAATTCACTAATGCCACATGATTCTTGTCACTTGTGGATATCAGAACCTGAAGATGCCATGAGAAAAAAAAATAATAATCCTCTCTCATCCAGTACTGCTTAAGCAGGAAAGAAAAAATTTAATGGAACATGATGTACTTTATTGGTCATCAAATCACTAACAAGCTTAGTTACTAAACAATCAAAACCATAACTGTTTGACCCAAGCTTAGCAGGAAGCTGGTAAAGAAGTGTTAAGAGATATAATACAAAATTGTTCATGTATCTTCACAAAATAGCTTAAGCTTTTTGGAGATTTCATTTATGACATGGTATCATAGCCCTACAATAAAAGGTTAAATTTAACTATAAGGTAGGTGGACATGTGCATTGTCCCTACTATCGCACAAAGGGCTCTTGTGTGAGGGTACCCTTTAGAAATGTAATACAAAATTATTCATGTGTCCTCACCTATCCTAACAACTTAAGCTTTTGGGAGGGATAATTCATGACAAAAAGCATACAGTTTTAGATCATATATGGATGAACTATAGTATAAAAATTATCATGAATTTTCAATTGATTAATATTAAAGGATACAACACAAACCAACCTCATAAAGTGCAATCACTTCATCCAGATCATAACCAGCCATTACATTTAACCTCATCATGATTTCTGATGGCTTACCAGTACTTTTCACAAAAAGCCTTCCGACATAACTGCAATCATAGGGAAATACATACATGTAAAACTAGGTCTACCTTTTACCCCAACATATGTCAAAATAGAGAAGTTACTCAATACCGTAGCTCCTCTTTTTCAGGATCATATAACTTGAAGAATAATAACATATCATCCTTTTTCTTGTCAGGTGGTGCAATTGGTCGTAAATCCTAAATAATAACGTAGTTTGTTAACATTACTGTGTTTGAGTATCAATGTATCATGCTATCAAAGTAGTATACAACATCCACACTACAAATGTTACCATCCCAAGCTCCACTTCCAAAAACAATTTTAATTCTGCATTGTGGTCATTGTTTGCTTCCCCTATGAATTGTCCAACCTACAATGTTAATCAGATTGAGAAAAAATGTAGTACAACTTCGGATCACAGAGAAACTGATGGATCTCAAAATTAAGCACCAACAGCAGGCAGAAATGGATCACCAAAAATTGAGCACACACCCCCCCTCCCAAAAAAAAAAAAAAAACACCAACATAACGAGAACAAACTACAGGATCCAAAACAATTAGTATGAACAATATTTATATGGGTTGCATTTTTTATTCACTTTCAAGATTCAAGAAATATAAAACAGCTAGGCAAAGATAGCAGAAATAAAAATAACAAAGCCAAGAGAATCAAATGTTGGTCCAACCTGAGAAATGGAATCTAAAACAATGCAACCAGCCAGGATAACCGGGAAATTAGCAGGTTGATATAAGATGACATGAAGCACAGAACAGATTTAACCAAAAAACATAAATGTAGGATACAACTTAAAAGGAGCTCATTTACTTTAGAAAACCAACATTGCCATAAAAAGCATGAACCTAAACAGTCAGAGCAGCAAAAATCATAGATAAGAAGATTGAAGAGGGGAATATGATCATAATAATAAGGAAAAGCTTCTTGCAAGCTCAAAAATTTACAGGTTGTGCTTCCTCAATGTGTGTCAATGGCCGATTAGGACGATATGTATAGTTTTTACGCATTGGCCATAGCCAAAAGCGCTGGAATTGAACTGGTATTCCAAACTCTTTAGCAACCTCTTCCTACATATCACAGGTTAGAAATCAGATGTAAAAATCAAAGTTCTGAAAATAGAGCATCTGTTGAGCAATCATCACCAACTTCATAAATCAAAAAACATAAAACCACAAAGATTCGTATTATATATTTTATTTCCTTCCAACTAAAGCATCAGAAATTTTATATTTTGGTACCGTTCTAAAAAGTAATTGTTTTATCAAAGGATACAACTAAAATAATGATTTGTAATTTAGGAGTTCACAAACTAAACTTTCTCCAGTTCAATGACTCTTATCGTATTTGACTATAAAATTTGAGAAGATAGTGAAAAAAATTAATGCATTTGTCCAAAAAGTAAGAAGACTAGCAACAAAAGCACTAGCCACAACAATCAGGCATCCAAAATTTGAAGTTTTAATGATGGTTATCAAATATTCCCATTTCCAAATCCATCTTGGATGACATTCCATCCTTTGACATTCAAGCAAGTAGCAACTCTTCAACGGGTATCATCCCTTGCAAAGGGGATATCGTATGGGCCACTAAATCCTTGCAAGAAAAAATACAAAATTTTAGACTTTGTTCACCCCCTTTGAAAAAATTAAACTGAAAAAATATCGATGGCATGAAATTGCCGAGTTAACCCTGTTTTGAAATTAATTCCACTCAGCAGCATTGAATAATACAATTCTGTGGATACGGACGATTTTACATTATCTCCCTCTTAATTGTGAATAGTTCAAGACACTTTATGTTAGAATATTAATTTCTCATGTTTTCCAATTTTTCAATGAAAAACCAACATTTTAAAAGGTAATATTTATGATTGAGATCAGAGCAAATTAGAAAAGAAACAGCAATAATTGTCATAGCATGCCAGGTCAAAGCACTTCTACCAGGAGGACAAATGGTGTGATTAGTGATGATACCTTGAAAAGGTTGAAAGACCTCTGATTTAGGACACGGAAACTCCTCACTTTGTCATGGTCTACAAGATCAAAATATATATCCTTTCCAATTTGCACGGCAAGGTCTTCATCTCGTGCTAACTAAGAAGTATCACATGTTATCAGTAATATATAAATCCAATTTGATTAAACAACTCACAGGGACAATCATGGTAAAGACAAACAATACTCAATTCTAAAAAAGCAAGTTAGGAACTAGGAACCTTTATAACAGTGTAAAGGTAAGGCTCTTCCATTTCTTTGATTTTGTTATCTTTTTCCTCCTGATCTTTCTTTAGCCTAGAACAGCCAATCCCCTTCTTTGAATCATAAGTCCAGTCAACAATCCTGGCTTCAACTACAAGAGTATCATTCACAAGATACCCTCTACTAGGATCATGCAATTCACCAAGTGGCATGAAGGAAGTGAAACCCCAATCACTTTCTCGATCATTGAATTGGTGCTGCGTGTCTGCATGGTGCAAGTAAAATGAAGTTACAACAAGACCCATGTCTATTCCCAAAAATTACGTGAAATTTTACTTTCTTCATTCTTTCCTTTTTGTTTCATTTAACAAAACTTTTTTTTATATTATCCATCGGTTCACCGATTACTCGACTGATCTGATTCGAGCTGAGTAGGACCACATGGGCTGCAAAATTCTCCCTACCAAGATTTTAACACAGTTGCATTCCCAGGAACTCGAACTCGAGACCAATGATTAAGCTGGAACAACCCCTTACAAGTTGATCCACGTGCTTGGTGGTATTTAACAAGTTAATACTAACAATTTCATTTAAGACAAGTAATATAACTATATCCAGATTTAGATCCAAAGTTAAAAGGAAAATAATATATGTACAAGTGGAAGTTTCAAATTTAGTGAAAATGTTTAATGAAGTGAAATTTGAATGAGAAGACCAAAGGCATATGAAAAGAAACAAGTATGTTTAGGTTTGTGAAATTTTTATCAGGATATGCAAAAATAAATGCTTAAGAAGATATGGCATTGGAGATGAGTAAGATATACAGAGAGGTACTGTTATGTGGATTTGATATAAAAATCTAACACAATTATTCAGGTTTCTCAGTGAAAAATTAGTATAGGAACAAAAATAGATACTTCAAGTATTAAGTGCTCTTGGATTAGTTGCAACAAACATCTAACAACATTCTTCACTTTTAATTACACCAACGCTCTTTTCTACATACATGCATGGTACTTCATCTTGTAACAACTGTCAAGAACAAAGTGAAGAGAAGAGACTACCTTTTATCACAGAGTGCTTATTATGGATTTGACTAACTACTGCCAAGCTAAACTCTGCATATCTGCTCCAATCATTGTGCAAACTAGCTAACTCTGCAACATCCAAATATATGGACAAATAGTCCACATTGTTGCCTTTCGGGAAAATAAGCACACGCCTGCCAAGTGTAAAACAAGATTAAGGACAGATAACTGAAAATACGTACACCTATGAAATAAAATTTCTGAAAAAATGAGCATTATATATGTGTAAGCACGATACCATTTATAGCCACCAACAGCAAATATTTCAGAATAGAGCTTATTTGCAGTAATGCTAGAAAAGTTGTGAATTCTCCAAGTGAATTCTGATGATGAAGTATCCTCAACATGCTGATTCTCCCCAGTCATGACAGTTTCAGTTTGAGCTACGAGTAATGATCATCAAAATAAAAGAAAAGAACAATTAAGTACCATGCCTTAATTAAATCAGCTAAAAACTGGGTAGGAAAAATAAATGACCTTAACTGAACTAGACCCGCTACTTGCTTGCCAGTGAAGATGAGTAAAACAAGATGAGAGGGAAATAATAACACAATCAATAAAGACATAAAAAAAACAGAGACCATCTAAAATGCAAACTACCAAGAAAGCACATTACTCTTAGTGCAATTTGATTATATCATCAAAACTCAAAAAGGCAATAAATGGAGTGAGCAAAAAAGAGGGACAGAGCAATCAGTACCTTCCATGGTTTGGTGATTATTCCCACCCAAATCCGAAAGCTTACCAATGAAGTCTTCTACTCTTCCATGTTAAATCATTATCTATATGGATTTCAGAAATCAACCATCTACAGGGTGAAGTCAATATAAAATATTTTTAAGGGAGAAGTGTGTATAGTAGATGTAAAGTTGTGTAGTGAACTGAGAGAAAGAGATAGAAAAAGGGGAGATAATGCGTTCGGTATAGGAGAAATTTTTATTTGTGCGGGAATTTTGATTTTTAAAAATATGATTTTCACATTCAGTTTATCATAATATCTGAAAATTTAAAATTTTAAAAATTTTAGTTTCTCGGGAATCCAGAAAAAATCCATGTACCAAACGGCCCCTAGGAGTAAGGCTACGGGTGTTCACGAGCTTAAAGATGTGGGTTTTATTTTTGGGTTTTATTTTTGGGTGAGAGTGAAATAATATAAATTGTCTCGTTTAAAAGCACAAATATTTTTCTCTATTTTTAATTGAGACTGACCTGTTAGCCAATTAAATCATAGTTCCTGTTTGAATAATGAGCAAATACCATTTTTGGTCGTCAGCTAATTTTACGATACTCGCTTTAGTCCCTAACAAATAAAAAAGCTATTTGTGGCCTTTAAGAAATTTAAAATGGACCTATTTTAGTCCTTTCGAGGGACTAATGTGGGTCTTTTTTGAATTTGTGAGGGATCACGATTTCAACTAAATGGGTCCATTTTAAATTTTTTAGGGACCACAAAGAGCATTTTTATTTGCTAGAGACTAAAACGGATATCGTGAAATTTGCTGACAATCAAAAAGAGTATTTACTCTTGAATTATTTTTAAAAAGTAAAAGTATGATGTGATCTATCAACCTTGCAAAACTTATTAGATTTATTATAATTAAATTTATAATAAATTAAACATATATTGTTTAAGAAATTAAATCATAAAAATAAATAGGAATAACTCTTATGATTATAAATAAATATATTTTTCTAAATTTAAATATTCAACTTAAAGTATTATTATATAATATTAAAGTTCCTTTTAAAGGCCAACCTCTATGTTTTAAGGTAGGCTTTAAAATAGGTCTGTGGCTAGGTTATTAAGTATTTTTTTTCACATGCATTATATGTTTTAGGGTTTTATTAATCTCATGTTAAAAGAGATAAGTTATCTCATGTCATAGAGACAAATTTGTGGGCTCCACCATCTGAAAAATAAAAATAAAAAGAAAAGAAAAGAAAAAGATGACACAGTTATCGAAGGATATGTAGGAGAGAAAGTTATAACATGTAACATAAGAATAATTTTTTGGTATGTTTTATTACTTAACTTGGTAAGGTTTAATATAAGGTAATGTGATCTATTTACATCCCAATTACAAAGCATGTTGAGATGTGTTTAAAAAAAAATTTATACATTATTTTAAAAAATTAATTTCAAAAGCCAGAATAATTTTAGATTTGTATTAATATTTAAAAGCATTTTTAATTAGAAGTAATATTTTAAATTTTTTTCAAGAATTTTGATTTAAAAAAAATGATTTTAATCCTTTTTCTAATTTGTATTTTTCAAAAGCTACATTTAAACGTATTAAAAACATGTTTTTAATGACATTGCATGGGCTGCATGCGTCTGGGAAGGATCAATTTAAGCACAATTTTCTTAACTTAAATCAATCGAATAATGGATGAACCAATTGATATATCAAAAAAACTAATTTTAGCATAATCAATATTTTTCAAATTAATAGGCTATAATTATCATTTATTGAAAACTAAACGGCTAATACCATCCCATTCAATCTTCTTTGTACAAAGTGCAGACTGTAGTATTATTAAATTCGAAATGAATTATTCAAAATCTCCATGATATGGATTTGAACATTAAAAAAATAATTTTATACAATTTTACGCATGGAATGAGATACCGCAAAATAATATTATTTTCAAACAACGAAGGTTATACTTACAACTTATTTTTGTTTACAACCTTTTTACAATCATATCTTACTTGTTGATTTCCGCCAATCAACGGTTATCATTCATTATAAATTAAATATTAATTAATGAGTTTGATTTGCAAAAATAATAACTATTGATTGACGGAAATCAACGATTAAGATATGATTGTAAAAGATTGTAAAAAAAAATAGGTTGTAAGTATAACATTCCCTTTTTTAAACCTATTATCATAAAAATTCAGTGTGGGCATGACATCGTTTTTTAATTTTTAGTTTGGAGAGTTAAAAATTGTGTTTGAATAAACCAGTAGTCTATATATGAACAAAAATTGAAAGAAAAAAAACAATTTCTTTTTACTTTTTTATACCTGGACACATTATTTATTAAATAAAAAATATATTTATTCTTTTAAAAATCAGACATTTTAGTTAAAATTATCATTTTTCATTTAAATTAAAAAATGTCTCACTTTCTCATGATTTCTGTTTCTTTCACGATAGAATACAGTAATTTGAACTAAAATAAAATAATTTTATGTCTTTTAAAAGGACAAAAATTAATCCAATTAAATACATTATTACTGGATTTCGAAAATTGACAAAAGAGACTCTCTATGTTTATCAAATACACACCTAGGTAAAATAACGAGCATGTTATCAAACACATTTTTTCACAAAAACCCTCAACCCAATTAAACATATAAATAAATATGGCAATTAATCGATCCTTAGATTGGATGCATAATTTTATTTTACAGATAGATACAAAGATGCCAAAGGTAATGACAACCGTGTCACGTACCCACCCAGGGCTGGGATTTATTTGAACCTACGCTTGGTGAACTTCAAGCAAAGATGAGGGAAGGTTGGAATCTTATATGTTGTGCATGTGTTATGAAATTTTATTATGCTATTTCTGAATTGTATCAATGTGATAGATTTTAAGTTTTAACCCTTTAATTTTGTTTCTGTGGAAGCTAAGAATGATCCACATCTGTGAGAGAGGCTTGGGTGCAGTATATTTAGTACGTGCACGACAACGTTCAACAGAAATTGTTCGCAATAGTGTTGTTTATATTACAGGGAGAGATATGAAAACCTGACACACTTTTGTTTTTCCAATGTACAATTCATTTGTGCTTTTCTAATTGCAGTCTGGTTATGAAAGTTTATGTTCCTTACGGTACATGCAAAACCACGCCATTAAAACTTTGCCACCACTTGTGTGTTGCCTTTTTGCCCAAGCTAAAGAGAAGGTTATAGATATATAGAGCATGTTCATTGTGGTTGTAGGGGCTATACAAGAGGAACACCACCATTTCATAGAATTACTTTGTTTCTAATTCTTTTAACAAAAAAAAAAAAAAGAAAGAAAGAAAGAAAAGGCCATCGACAAATAGAAGGGAATCGAAAACCGAACTATAGTAAACGAAAGACGAGAGAAGGCCAACCATATAACCTTATCAAATGCCAAAGATGAATAGCCATTGCATATGACAAATGCATGTCCATATATATAGAAGGAGAAATACTAATGCTCGCTTAAACTAAAGCCCTTTTTATAGAAACGAATAAGGAGCCCACAGCAACTCAGCCAAGCAACCATATGCAAAATTTCAATATGCATAGCTATGAAGTAAAAAAATAAAGGAAAAAAACATTGTACTAAATATATATCAATTGAAGAAAAGCAAGAAATTTTTTTTTTTACCTTGGTCCAAATATCTGACCTTAGAATATCAAATTGGGACATATAGAAATTAACAGCTTAATTACAAACGCTCACGACAAACAGGACAAGTATCTTTTCCAAAGAGTAACCAAGAGATGATGCAGGAAGAATGGAACTCATGAGAACAGACTCCAAAAGGTTGAATCAACTCTCCATTCTTGAAATCTTCAATGCAAATAGGACAATTACTTTGAGATTCAGTAGTTTCGTCCTCGGTGAAGCTTTTCATTAGGGGTAAGCGTCCCATGGCCACCCTGATCCTAGCCAAATGTACACTCAGCGAATAGGACACTGATTGTGAGATTTGCGTATTTAGAAATTGTTCCCACTCAGCCCTTTCGCTTCCTCCACTCACAGAATGAGTCATGGTTCTACGTAGTAGTGAGAAAACTCTGATCAGTAGCATCAGCACCCTGTGTGCTTTGTACGCTTTGAGATTCTCCTATGCTATAAACGTATATGTGTCGTCCCTCGCAGGGTATTAGATTTTAAATAAATAAATAAATCATAAAATATAAAAAATTACCAAAATTATTTTAAACTATCATTTAAGATACTCTAAAACATTATCAGATAAGATTAAAATATTATCATATATTTTTTATATATTCTGAGATTTTATTTAATATATTAAATTATAAATAATTTAAAATATATATTCTTAAAAGAGATAATCTAAAATATTATCAGAAATAATTAAAAATTATCAGATATTTTTCATATATTCTGAGATTTCACTATGATACTCTAAATTAAATTATAAAATTTAAAAAATATTTTTAAAAGATCATAAAAATTATCATAGGATACAAATAATATTATAAAATATTTTTCATATATTTTGAGAGTTCACATGAGATACTCTAAATTAAAATATAAAAAAATTTAAGAAAATTATTCTTAAAAGAACATTTAAGATATTCTAAATTATTTTAAAATATAATTAAAATATCATAAAATATTTTTCATATATTAATTTTAAGAGTTCATTTTGTTTACTAAGACATTAATAATTAAAAAAAGAAAAAAAAATAAGAGGGTAAATTTTTATAAATCTCATTATTCTTTTAATTCTCTTCCTTTTAAAAGAAAAAAAGAGAGAAAAATAGTATATAGGTATTTTTTCTTTGGGATCGATAGGATATTATGCCTACTTTTTTTATGTCTACTCTACCTACTTATATTTTCAACATCTTTAGATTACAATTTAAAGAGAAAAGAGAAAATATAAGGTCAGTTGAAATTGTGATCTAATGATATTGAATGAATTGTATTGTAGCGGGTATAGTTTAGTGGTAAAAGTGCGATTCGTTCTACGGACCCTTAAATAGAGTAGTTGAAGTAAACATGAAAAAAAGTATGCATAATATCCTATTCTTTTTTCTTTTATGTGAT